GAAGATGTTGAATGTGCAAACAATCTCAACAGGGCTCAAGTGCTACAGCAGTTGTGGGTACAGAATGTTATCAGGGCACACAGAGGAGGTAGTGACTAATTCTGTCTGGGGCGAGTCATCAGTGTGTGTGGGGGGTGATGAAGAGTAATGGGAGATATAACCAGAGAGAGCCAGATTAAAGAACCCCAGTCAGCTTCTCATTAGTCACACTGTCCTTGGGCAACTGAATTCACTTCCAAAGTTTCAACAACTACCCCATGTCATCAACTTCCATATATGAAATCTCAGCTCCCATCTCTCTCTTGACTCCAGGCACATAATCTAATCTATGTCAGAACACCTATCTCTACGTCTCAGAGGCATCTTATATAAAATACATCTCTCTTACATCCCCAGACTTCCTCTTCCTTTATTCCCATCCTCAGTTTTCAGAGCCAGTGTCCAAATTGTAAACCTCATTGTCATTTTCTATGCCTCCTTATCCCTCACCTCCAAGTGGCCATCAAGTCCTATCAATCTAGTTCCAAAATCTCTCTCAAACCATCACTTCTTCTCTGTCCTTCCATCCCTTCTGTGCAGACCTGCATTTTTACCTCCTTCCAACTACTACAGTAGCCACAGAATGAATCTATTTACTCCAAATTGTTTTTATTTATTCATTCAACAAACTGGATGCATAGCGTTCCGGGTACTGCAGGAAATAAGACATGCAAAGAGAGTGCCTGCTTTATGGACCTTTCTTCCTATTTCCTCATTATACCCAAATTTCTTTTTAAAACTAATCTGGTCACAGCACACACTGGCTTCAAGTTTTCAGTAGCCTCTCACTGACTAAAAAAGAAACTCCTAGCACGGCTCACAATGCTGTTCAACATCTGGTAAATCCTACCCTTCCAACCTCTTGTTCTGCCATCCTCTCAGGCCCTTTAAACTCCAGGCACATCCAGCTACTTCCCTGTTATTAAAACTGCATGTTTCTTCAGGCTTTGCTTTAGCAAATGTTACTTCCTGTGCTGGAACACTCTTTCCTCTTCTCCCCCTTGGGAATTCCTACTCCAGAGATTCCAAGTTTCCATGCCCAAACACAGCACTCATCACGTGGTATATAAATCATGTTTAGAAGTCTGCTTCTTCCACGTGGCTGTGAGCTCCTTAAAGGACAGGAGTTGTATCACACATAAGTCCACCTTCATCGTAGACAATCAGTGACCCTTGGTTGCATGAGAAAGCAAGGAAGAAGCATAGAAGTCTGGGAAGGTTAAGAAGCAAAGGTCAGGAAGATTGGGAAAGGCAGCTCATACCTCACCTGATGGCCTGTCCAAAGTACTTATTTTGTGAAGTACTTTGTACCTCTCTGGGCTCTAAGGACCAAGCTTCCTTTGGAGGCATGCTTCTCAAGGTACAGGACAGAACATCTTTGAATAACACTACCAGGCTGGTAGCAGCAGGACCCTCCCTTCCCATTCCTCTCCATGTTTCTGATTTGGCTGGAGAAATACACACAGCCATGGGGACTGGTCTCACTATTTTTAAAAATATGTTTTTATTGATTTTTTTTAGAGAGGGAGAGACATCTGTTGGCTGCCTCCTGCATGCCCCTTACTGGGGATAGAGCCAAAAACCTGGGCATGTGCCCTGACCAGGAATGAAACCAGCAGCCTACTGGGGTATAGGAGACAACCAAGTGAGCCACACTGGCCAGCGCAGGACTGGTCTCACTTTAAATTCATGACCACTAGGTCCTCGTGGGTCCTTAAATTCTACATTTCTGTCCAGAAATTCTACATTTCTCCCTTTCCCTCACTCAAATCAGTCCTCATACTTGCCATGTTCCCCATTATTCGAAATAAACTGTGCTCCCAGCTAAGACCAAACTTACTCCACTTGGTCCATTCCTTCTTGTTCACTAACATCACTCTAGCAATTCTATCCTCTCTCCTGTTTCACCATTTTTCTCCCTCTCTACTACACCATTTCTAATTTATTTTACAAAAATAAAAAAAGTAAAAACAACCATCTCAAACCCTCTTCCCATTTTAGTTACCACCACTGTCTTCCCTTTCTAAGAAAACTTCTAAACAGCTGCTTAACATACTGTCTTCAATTCCTTACCTCCTATTCTCCTTGAACCTATGCCAATCAGACTTTCACCAGTATTGCCCCTAAAATTGTTCAAGTTCACCAAAGAGCTCCATTAAAGAGCATCACACAGTTGATCATTCCCTCCCCCAAACAGGTTCCTTACTTGGCTTCCAGGATATCATTCTCTTTTGGTTTTTCAGTGGTCATTCTTTCTCAGTCTATTTTGCTTTTTCCTTTCCATCTCCCCAATCTCTTTAACATTTGTGCACCCCAAGTCTTAGTCCTTTCTATCAATATACATAGTCTCCTGGCTTTAAATACCATCTACATTTATAACTCCAGTCCAGGGAGACTCTGAACTTTGGGCTCATATATCCAACTGCCTTAGATATCTAATAACCATATAAAAACTAGCATGCCTAAATTCAAAATCTTGAAACCACTCCCTGCCCAAATATGTTCTTCCCATTTAAGAAAATCATAACTCCACCTGTCAAGTTACTCAGGCCAAAATGATTGGAGTCATCACTGACCCCTCTCTTTATCTCACTCCACATCTATCTGTTAACAAATCTAGTTAATCCTACTTTTAAAATGTAACTAAAATCCACCCTGGCCGGTTTGGCTCAGCAGTTAGAGTGTTGGCCCTCAGACCAGAGTCATGGGTTCGATTCCGGTCAAGGGCACGTACCTTGGTTGCGGTTTGGTCCACAGCCCAGGTTGGGGTCATGCAGGAGGCAACCAATCGATGTCTCTCTCTGTCTCTCTGTCTGTCTCTCCCCCACCCCCTTCCACTCTATCTGAAAATAAATGGAAAAATATCCTCGGGTAAGGACTTAAAAAAAAAAAAGTAACTAAAATCCAATCACTTCTCACTACCTCCTCTATTACCACACTAATCCAACTCCCTGAAACTGATGAGTTGCAATAACCTCCTGACACTTTCTACCTTCAACATATCTGCCAGAGTGATCATGTAATAATTTAAGTCAAATCATATTACTTGACTGCTCAAACCTTCTAATGGCTTCCCATCTCAATGAGAGTAAAAATACATCATGAGCCCTGGCCAGTTTGGGTCAGTGGTGAGAGTGTCGGTCTGCGAACCAGAGAGTCCTGGGTTCAGTCCCACTAAGGGCATGTACCTCGGTTGCAGTCTGTCCCTGGCCCCAGTTGGGGTCATGCGGGTGGCAACCAGATGTGTCTCTCTCACGTCGATGTTTCTCTCTCTTTTTGTCTTTCTCCCTCTCTCCCTCCTGCTCTATCTGAAGATAAATGCAAAAAACAAAAAACAAAAAACAAAAAAACACATCATGAACTACAAGGCCTATATACAACCTGGCCACACTGTACCTTCTAACCTTATCTCCCCACAACTCTCCCTCTAGCTCACTCCATTCCACCCACAATAGCTTCCCTCCAGTTCCCTGAACACACTGTCCACTTCAGGCCTTTGCACTTAGCCTTCTCTCTGCCTGAAAGATTCTTCTCCCAGTTATCCACATGGTTTACTCCCTCATCTTCTTCAGGTTTTTGCTCAAATGTCACCTTTGCAGTCTTGACTATCTTAATTACCCTATTTAAAACTGCAACTCCCCTCAATCTTTCATCCCTGAATTTTCTTCATTACACTCATTACTACCTAACTTTAATTTACGTTGCTTAACTTAATATTGTTTATTGTTTCTCTCTCCCTACTTGAGATCTATGAGAGCAGAGATATTTATTTGTTCTGTTCATTGCTGTATATCCTCAGGGCCAAGAACAGTACTGGCATGGGGACATGGCTCAAAGGGTTATTTGTTGAATGAATAAAATGAGAAATTCTCAGTTTACTGCTAGTATGTCTACAACACTCAACACTGCTAATCCCCTTTTAGAGCTCAGTACCTTAGCTGGTAAAAGTATCAAGTCAGAATTTACTAACATTAAATTGAAATTGAGAGTTTGCTTTCATTCTGTTTTAAATTACTTTTCATTTAAGATACTGGGTTTCTGTTTGCTCTTGTAACAGTTTTTAACTTAGTACAAGTTTTTTTTTTTTTTAATCTTCACCCGAGGACATTTTTCCATATTTTGTTCAGATAGAGTGGGAGAGAGAGAGAGAAACATCAATGTGAAAGGGACACATCGAGTGGTTGCCACCCGCACGACCCAACCAGGGCCGGGGACAAACTGCAACCGAGGTACGTGCCCTTAGCGGAACCGAACCCGGGTCTCTGTGGACCGCAGGTGGACGCTCTAATCGCTGAGCCAAACCGGTTAGGGCAACTTAGTATGTTTTTAAGTTTAAAAAGTGTTTCTTCTAAGAAAAATGTTAATAAATTATAGTGGGACTAGCAAAGAAACATGACAAAAATAGTTTGTGATATCTGAATGACTTAAGTTTAAGAAGGACTCTCTTAGGGTAGAGTTGCCAGATAAAATATAGGACATCCAGTTATAGATAAATAATGAATGATATTTTTAGTGTATGCCCCAAATATTGCATGGCACACAAATGAACTAAGAAATTACTCATCTGAAATTCTATTTTAAATGGGCATTTCTCCTCCTCCCCCCAAATCTGGCAACACTCTACTAGGAGATCAAAGAAATTACACCAAGCTCCTTGTAGCTTCTATTTAGATCTACCCGTACAAGCTAGTTGAACTCTTGTCCTATCTACAGACTGAGTGGCTGTTATGTCCCTGTGGGAGGGGACTGAGGAATGATGCTCTAAAAATCAGAGGCTCAGGTCCACAGTGCATTTTGGGCGTGGAATGGTCCTCAGAACTAGCAGCCCCGCCACTTTAGACCGGGGGAGTAAGAAGGGCGGAGGGAGTAGGGGAGGGGTTCCGGGCCCAACTCCCTTTCCCGGCTTCTCAGGCACCTGCTTAGCAGAGGCCAAGGCTTGGCAGCCCCTTTCCGGCCCTTACCAATGTTGCCTTCGATGGAGAGCCTTCGGGGCCCGAGCCTCGCGTGCAGAACCTTGGAGAGGGGCACGCCCTCGAGCAGGCTCTGAGCCATAGAACTGGAAGATGCTCGCAGCTGCCTTAGAAAGCGCCTGCCTACGGCCATCCTACCCACGATCCACGCAACAAGCACTTCCGCCGAGAGCACTTCCGTTCCCAGTACGGCCGTCCCAGCGCTTCGGCGCACCCCTGACGTCAAGAGATCGCCAGGCAGGAAGTGGGTGGGATTGAGCTGACTGAGAGGGTGGGGCCAAAGGGACCTCTGTTCTCGCGATGTTAGTAGAGAAGAATGTGCTAGAGAAAAGTTAAGTTTGGGGTGCGGGAAAGTTTGTCGATAAGAAGGCGTCTTTGCTCATTGGAAAATAACATTTTAAAAGAGACAACAATTCCATCGCCTTTGCATTTTTGTATGACTTTAAAATAATTTTCATAACAAAGACCAATAAAAAACAGTGATTTTAAACGAGATTTTCCCCCCCACGTGTTTGTTGCCTGGTTTTTATTCTAAAAGGGGGTGAAATTGGACGGTTTTAAGTAGGAAAATGAGGCAATCTGTTCATTTACACAAATTAACTTTTTCCCATTCCCTGTAACGCGGCAGCACAATGCTGGCACGTTATTGAATAAATCAACAAATGAGTTCAATTACACCCCACCTCTTACTTTGTCTCTTGAATAAATAAACGTTTGCTCAACCGATTTGCATAGGAGCCAAAAATCCCATTAAATGGGTGGAGGCTCGGGTGTGACTGGAACTGGTTTAAACTTGATAGATTGGGTTCCGTGGGCTGGCTTTGTCCGGCTACACCCAAAGGTCTCACCGACCTCGGATTTATGACAAGTTGTCAGGGGGTGCTTCCACCTTCCACGCTTAACCGCAAGAGTCAACAGGCATACCCGCATTCGGGCAGCACTCTCAGAGGTGGGAGCTTTTGGGAAGCAGCGACTTGCTTGCAAGAGGGTGGAGAGGGAGTCTGTTGCTGGGACACCTGTCTTGAAGCTGTTTGCATAGTAAGCACAGGTCCTTTTTCCTATATTGATGTTTATATATCATGGTTGAAGCGACGTTTGTATATTAAACACTTTGCTTTTTAAAAAAAATAGATTGTAAATTTATTTAGGATAACATGAGTGGAGCACTAATGGGTATTGGAACAGCTAAAGTCTGTTTCATCACCTACTCCCCTGGCCACCTCTGTGTAAAAATACTACTTACATTTCTTTATCTAGGTAAACTCAGACTTGGAAACTATTCACCCAAAAAAGTTTGAAAGGCTCTCTGGACCCCCAAGATCTCGCTGCTTCATTGCTCTCAGGGTCTCTGTGAAGGAAGTTGTAAGCAGGTTTATGTGTGGACAGGCGACTGACCTGCTCCAGAAGTTATTATTTTTTAAAACTTTAGCTCTGGCCGGTTTGGCTCAGCGGTTAGAGCATCAGCCTGCTGTCCAGAGAGAGCAGGGTTTGGTTCCTGCTAAGGGCCCGTACCCTGGTTGCAGTTTGTCCCTGGCCCTGAATGGATGGTGTGGGTGGCAACCACTCGATGTGTCCCTTTCACGTCAATGTTTCTCTCTCTCTGTTCCTCTCTCTCCCTCCCACTCTATCTGAACAAAAAATGGAAAAATGTCCTCGAGTGAAGGAAAAAAAAAAAAAAAACTTTAATGAAGTAGCTCAGTGGTTGAGCGTCAACCCATGCACCAAGAGGTCATCAGTTTGATTCCCAGTCAGGGCTCATGCCCAGGTTGTGGGCCAAATCTCCAGTGCGGTCCATGCAGGAGGCAGCCAATCCATGTTCTCTCTCTCTCCAAAATCAATAAAGAAAAAAAAAAAACTTTAGTGAAGTATAGTATATAGTGAAGAAAAGAGCATGTGTTGTAAGTATACAGTTTAATGAAAATTTTCACAAAACTGAACACATCCCTGTTACCTGGATTCAGATCAAGAAATAGAGCATTACCAGCATTCCCAGAATCCATTTCTTATGCCAGTTACTACCCCCCAAAGGTAACTAATAGCCTGAGTTCTAACAGCAGACATTAGTTTAGCCTGTTCTTTGTATACATGAAATTTCATTCAACATAATATCTGTGAGATTTCTATATTATATATGTAGTTGTTGCTCATTCATTCTCATTGCTGTGTAGTATTTCACTGTATCACTCTACCACAATGTATTTTATCCATTCTACTATTTTTTTTTTTTATCCTCACCTGAGGACATTTTTCCACTTTTTGTTCAGATAGAGTGGGAGGGAGAGAGAAAGAGAGAAAGATCAACGTGAAAGGGACACATTGAGTGGTTGCCACCCGCACGACCCAACCAAGGCCGGGGACAAACTGCAACCGAGGTACATGCCCTTAGCGGGAGCCGAACCCTGGTCTCTCTGGACCACAGGGGCTTGCTCTAACCACTGAGCAAAACTGGCCAGGCTCCATTGTACTATTTTTTTTTTTTCCTCATTCGAGGACATTTTTCCATTTTTTGTACAGACAGAGTGGGAGGGAGAGAGAGGAAGAGAGAGAGAGGGAAACATCGATGTGAAAGGGACACATCGAGTGGCTGCCACCCACACGACCAACCAGGGCCGGGGACAAACTGCAACCAAGGTACATGCCCTTAGCGGGAACCGAACCCGGGTCTCTCCGGACTGCAGGTGGACGCTCTAACCGCTGAGCCAAACCGGCCAGGGCTCCATTCTACTATTGATGGACATTTGAGAGTTTCTAGAGTTGGGCTATTATGAACAGCATTGCTATGAATAATCTTTTTTTTGTTTTTTTTTATCCTCACCCAGGGACATTTTTCCATTTTTTGTTCAGGTAGAGTGGGAGGGAGAGAGAGAGAGAAACATTGATGTCAAAGGAACACATCGAGTGGCTGTCACCCGCACGACCAACCGGGGCCGGGGACAAACTGCAACCGAGATACGTGCCCTTAGCGGGAACCGAACCCAGGTGTCTCAGGACCACAGGCCAACGCTCTAACCGCTGAGCCAAACTGGCCAGGGCTGAATATTCTTGAATATGTGTTTTGGTAAAGTATGCAATTCTCTTGGGTAGATACTTATGAGTATAACTGTGGTATGATAGGCCATTTGTATGATCAGCTTTAGTAAATATTCCTAACTAGTAAACAGTTCCACAGTGTTTGTACAGTCAACACTGCTACCAGCAATGGGTGAGTGCACGCTCTGATTGTTCCACATTCTTACCAACAGTTGGTATTTTTTTTTCACTCTGCTTATTAAATTTTTATTTTGTATTTTCCTGATGACTAATGAAGTAAAACACCTTTTCATATGTTTATTGGCCACTTCAGTCACCTCTGTTGTGAAGGACCTGTTCAAGTCCTGTGCCCATTTTTCTACTGGTTGTCTGTCTTTTACTTATTGTTAGTGTTCATTATGTATTTTGCATATGAGACCTTTGTGACTATTTCTCTCTGTTTCTTGCTTCTAAAAGCTTTCAATTTTTTTGATGTATGGTGTAAAGAAACTAAAATATCTTTTTGCCTGTCAGTGATCTCAATATTAGCGATGATTCTTCTTTTTTAATGTTTATCCTCACCCAAGGACATTTTCCCATTTTTTGTTCAGATAGAGCAGGAGGGAGAGAGAGGAAGAGAGAGAGAGAAACATTGACGTGAAAGAGACACATGGAGTGGCTGCCTCCCGCACAACCCCAACCAGGGCCGGGGACAAAGCGCAACCGAAGGACGTGCCCTTGACCGAAATCGAACCTGTGATTCATTGGTCCGCAGACCAATGCTCTAACTGTTGAGGCAAACCGGCCAGGGCTCCTCTTTATTTTTTGTATTCTTGTTTTATTCTCTTATACCATGCATAAAAATTCAATTATCTTTCTTGGTCTTAATTTCAAATTCCCAGAAGAGAGAATCTGATTGACCCAGCTGTGCCCAAAAGATAGGGTCTCATGGAACAAACATGAGTGTTAGGTCCCCACTCCTGTGCTTGAAGAAGGAAGGTGATTAAAGGGATCATTGTGAGCAAGGAAGATACTAAAAAAGGTGGTGATCAGTTCCTCCTAGAAGAAGTAAAGAGCCCTGGCCTGTTTGGCTCAGCAGTTGAGTGTCGGCCTGTGGATCAGAGAGGTCTGGGTTCTGTTCCCGCTAGGGGCACATACCACAAAGAAGAAGGAGAAGGAGAAGGAGAAGGAGAAGGAGAAGGAGAAGGAGAAGGAGAAGGAGAAGGAGAAGGAGAAGGAGAAGGAGAAAAGAGAGTGTTTTCATCCCACCTCAGGTGTTGGCCAGAGGACAGAAAATAGTGCCATGTTGGTGAGCAGAATTATGTCCCACTTGCCTGGAGGAAATGAGGCCACTTCCTGTCCCTGGGAGATTGTCAGATATCTGCTAGAGCTTATGAGTAAGAGCTGATAGCCCTACATGAACTGTAGCCGTTCAGTATTCATCCCTTCAATATTTACTGAGCATCTACCATGTACCATGTATCTGCTTAGTCCTTGGAGTGCAGCTCTGAAGGAATTACTACCTTCAAATGTTTTTAAGTGCTATTGTAACAAAAAAAATACAGACTCATTTTACAAAAATGCTTCTGCAGCCATTAAAAATGGGGAGATAGATATACACAAATGTGACCCTGACTTTCTTTTGCTGCCTGGACATCTATCTGGTCAGTTATCTTCTCATCTACATCAAAGATATTCTTATGTGCTGGATTATGCTACCTCAAGTTGGTGAAGCTGGGAAATACGCTTCCAGAACCCCCTCCTGACTGGACTGTGAGTGAGAGCTGGCCAAAAGAGGATCTAGTGTGAGATTTGGAAGGCAGATGGGAGCCTCAGCAACTCCTCTAGGGAGATATCCGTTGTCAGATACTGTGCCAGACAGATGTTCCCATAGATAGATACAGCTAGTCCTCAAGGCTTCAGTGTCTCCTGTCTGATCACCCAACAATTCCCTCCAGACCTTCACTTCCCTGGCTCCTCTCACCTTTGGGTAGTCTCATTCCTAGTAACTCCCTTATTTCTGCAATGCATGGTGGCTCTGCTTTTCGGAATGAATTCTGGCTGACACACCTCATCATAAAGGGATGCAGAAGGGCAGTGGTTAAGAGTATGGGCTCCCGCCCTGGCCGGTTTGGCTCAGCGGTTAGAGCGTTGGCCTGCGGTCCGGAGAGACCCGGGTTCGGTTCCCGCTAAGGGCACGTACTTCGGTTGCAGTTTGTCCCCGGCCCTGGTCGGTCGTGTGGGTGGCAGCCACTCGATGTGTCCCTTTCACGTTGATGTTTCTCTCTCTCTCTCTCTCCCTCCCACTCTATCTGTACAAAAATTGCAAAAATGTCCTCGGGTGAGGATTAAAAAAAAAAAAAAAAAATTATAAAAAAAGAGTATGGGCTCTGAATTCAGATAGCCAGGGGTAAGGATTAAGAAAGATAATCGAGCCCTGGCCTGTTTGGCTCAGCAGTTAGAGTGTCAGCCTGCAGTCCAGAGAGAACTGGGTTCGGTTCCCACTAAGGGCACGTACCTCAGTTGCAGTTTGTCCCCTGCGGGTGGCAGCCACTTGATGTGTCCTTTTCACATTGATCTCTCTCTTTCTCTCTCTCTCTCTCTCTTTCTCTCTCTCTCTCTCTCTCTCTCCCTCCCACTCTATCTGAACAAAAAATGGAAAAAATGTCCTCGGGTGAAGGTAAAAAAAAAAAAAAGGGAAGATAATCGACAGGCAGCTTTTAACACAATGCATGCCACACAGCTACCACCCAATAGACACTATATAATAGGTAATGGCTCCTTCAGCTTGGCCCTCAGTGCCTGGGACCTAACTTCTATTTATCTTCAGTTGACTTTCTGTTGGATTTCCACTCTCCTCACGCCATTATAATCAATCCTCTGAAGAATTCTAGGGCAGCACTTCTTGAAGTGGGGCAAGACTGAATGGGGCAGGGAAGAGAATGACCAGCCAGCCTCCCCTTCTTCCCCCATAAGGAGATTCCAATGTGCCCTCTGTAGCAGGGAGTGTCAGTATCCCACATCTCCCTGTGTCCCTGTGAGCGTGCATGTGCCCTTCAGCCTCCTCCCTGTGCTCTCTCTCCCAACAGCCAGTGGCTGTGGCTCTCCTTTGCAGGACTGCCCTCAGCCTACTGGAGCCCTTTCCCTTCACAGAGGAAGGCCTAGGACTTTATGTCCAGGGTGCACCTTCGCTGACAGGTGGCTGTGAAAGCCCAGCCCATTGGGTGCAGGCAGAATTATACTCCGGAGCTCTCTGGGGATGAGGCTGAAGCAATGCCCAAGAGGTCCCTTGCTGGGCTTCCTCCCTTTTCCTGTTCTGCCTCTTCCTCTCTGCTCAGGGGTTCCCTTAGAGAGCTTCCTGAATAAATCACTTGCATGTGGATCTGCTCCTGGGAAATCCTTCCTAAGACATAAATCCTCTAGGGGGTTTTGAAAATGTGCCTCTCCCCCTCACCTCCAGAGGGAAAGGACAGAGGTGGCAGAGGAGGACTATCTGATGTTAAGGCCCTGCGCTTCCACTTGGTTCCACTGTCTCCAAACAAGTATTTCTGGGAAGGCTCATGGACTAGGTGGGATCTGCTCAGGAGTATCAAGGATGGGACTTGACTAGGTGGAGGGAGAGAAGGTACACCTGGCAGAAGTGAGGACCTAGTCCTGCCATTAACTTGCTGGATAATAGGATTAACTAGTAAACTAGCTATAAAATAGGAATGATACTAGGACCTGCTTCATAGGACTGTGATGAGGATTAAATGAGGAAATCCAGGTAAAGCTCTTAACCTAGTGCCTAACATATTATAAACACTCAGTTGATGTTAGCTGTTCTTGTTGTCTGGTATTTTCTCACAGTATTTGTGGGTGCTTCTGTTTCACCTCAAATCATTATCTTATATGTATATGTCTGTCTCCCCCTTTATTATTATTTTTTTTTATTTTTATTTTTTTAATCCTCACCTGAGGACACTTTTGCATTCATCTTCAGATAGATCAAGAGGGAGAGAGGGAGGAAGAGAGAGAGAGAAACATCAATGTGAGAGAGACATATCAACTGGCTGCCACCCACATGACCTCAACTGGGGCTGGGGACAAACTGCAACCGAGGTACATGCCCTTAGCGGGAACTGAACCCGGGTCTCTCTGGACTGCAGGCCAACACTCTAACTGCTGAGCCAAACCAGCCAGGGCTGTCTCCCCCTTTATGCAATGAGACCTTGATAGGTAAGATTCATCTTTGTCAGGTACATAAACTCCATGTGGGCTTACCCAGTAATTGTCAATTTATTTACCAATAATGCAGTAAATACTAGTGAGGTTAAACAGAATTGACCAAAGACAGAAAGTGGGGAGCAAGAGAGAGGGAGAGAAAGGAAGAGGAGGAGAAGGAGGAAGATGAGGACAAGGAGGAGGAGGAGGAAGAAGAAGAGGAGGAGGCAGAAGAGGAAAAGAGAGGGGTAGAAAAAATATTCTTCCTAAGCGTGCTACTTTCTTGATTAGTTTGGGGGCAAAATACAATCTAATCCTCAGTGACAAAGGACCTCATAGAGATGTTAAGCCCATTATAAGCTTTCTTTACCTAAGTTCAAATAACATTATACTTTTTGTTGCATTATGTCACCTAACACCTTATGTTCCTGTAAGTCTGTGTTTCTCTTTCTGTTTGTGTTCTCTGTGCACCACCCTCGAGTACAAGGACTCACATCTCTGAAAGCCCTTGTTTCTTACCCCCACCCCACAAGCCATCTAGCCCTCATTCTTAACTCGTGGTCAAGGAAAAGGAATCAAGATGGTGTAGTAGGAGTAATCACTTCAGAGTCTGCTACATTTGGATTTTAATCTTGGTTCTAGGTGATCTTCAACAAGTCCTTAACTTCTCTGAGCCTCAATTTCCTCGTCTGTAACATGGAGGTAATATTAATAGTACCTATCTCACAGGGTTATGTGTGGATTAGAAATAAGATGTGAAAAGCCCTTTGCACTGTGTATGAGACATAGCCCAGGGGTGGTGGGGGCGGAGAGCTCCACACAGAGAAGTAAGACTTGCAGGTTTTAATGTTTCATGATTGGTAATAGCAGTCTCAAGGAGATCCCCAGAGAATCTGTTCTGACTTTAGAAGCACTTCCTGTGGACAATGGAGGGCCCCGCCTCATCATACTCTGGCTTGCTGATCCACATCTGCTGGAAGGTGGAGAGAGAGGCCAGGATGGAGCCTCCGATCCAGACTGAGTACTTCCTCTCCGGGGGAGCAATAATCTGCAAAGAGAAAATGTGGTGAATCATGATCAATCCCCAAGAAAATAGGAAGGTGGTCCAGGAAACATCTCATCATACTACCAGGCTGCCCCAGAAACGAACAGCCTCCATGGTCAGAAAGAAACAGGGCAAACCTTGTGATAGATTGGATTATTGCTCAAATCTCCACTGCCTCCCCCACAATCCCTCCATAGGAAGATTGTACTGTTCCATCGTGTGACTTTGGGCTCGGCTCCGTATTTGGTTTGGCCAATGAAATGTTAGCAGACATGACTCAAACAGGAGCTTGAAATGTGCTTCAGGCATGCATGTGGGCATACTCTCTTGTGCCTCTGCCATTTTCACAAAAAGCTTCGCTGAGGAGCTGCTGGCCCTTCAGCCTGGGTCCCATAATGAGTGAGAGATGTGGACCTGACCTGAGCTGGCTGGACCTGCAGAGCAGCCTAGCCAAGCCTGACCTAGATCAGCTGACTCCCAGCTGACCTGCAGATGCATGAGCAACACATGCTAATTTTTACGTGCCCTGTGATTTCATAGTTGCTTGTTGCTCAGCAATAGCTGAACGATGCAAACATCTACAGGGGAAGTGCTATTCTGTTCTTGCCTGGAGTTGGATGCATGAGCAGCTCAGGCTAGCTTCCACCATTCCTGAGTATGAGCCCGTCTACTCCGACCCTGTCTTGTACAATAGCCACTTGTACCTGAGAAGTTCTTAAATTCATTTATATATTATTCATTCTTGCCACTGAGCTTAGCCTTTAGAAATTGGTTGTCCTGTCAAACAACTTTGAACTCCACCTAAAAGTAGATCTGGAAGGACTGATTCTTCTAACTAATTTCTCAGATTCTGAAGGGTCTAAGAATTCAGTGCTAGAACAAACCAGAAGTTAAATGGATTGTTTTTGTGTCCTTAAAATCTCTCTGCATATTTCTGAAGTCACAGAGAACACAGAATTGCAGAATAAGAAGGGTCTTTAGAAGTTATCTTATTCTGGCAGACAAGTCACCCCATCACTCCTTGGATAGATACCTCAAGGACTGGCACAGCCACTAAGAAGGTAAGAGATTTTATTGCTGGGCAGTTCTAGTTGTGAGAAAACTCAGGGCTGTCTTGGGCTGGAGGTCCTCAGTCTCAGCCCCAGCCCCAGCCCACATCTCTTCTTCCACACCCTGGAGGCTGGCTTCATCTCCCCCAGTTCCTCTACATGAATCCTGTTGTCCAGTTTGGCTGGGATGCTCACACATGCACACACCCCTGAGCACCTTTGCTCACTCTACTTCCCCTGCCTGGCGGGCCCTTTCCCCTCCTCTTATTTCTTTTATTTATTTTTTATTTTGTATCTCTTTTATTCTTTCTTTCTTTCTTTATTTTGTTTTTGTTTACAGATGTTTCTCCTTTTTTACCCCATTGACACCCTCCTCCCCACCCCTCCCTCCCTGTCCCCAGCTTTGTTGTCCATGTCCATGGGTTATGCGTACATGCATATAAGTTCTGTGGTTTACCACCCCCTCTTCTGGGATTGTCAGTCTGTACCCTACTTCCATGTTTCACCCTCCTCTTATTTCAATTGCCCTCTTTCATTGATTGTGTTTACTTATTAGATCCTAGGCTCCCTGAAGGCTGGCATATATTGTTAAACTCAGGGCAATGGCTCAAAATTGGGATATGCATCAAATCACTGGTGTTCGTCTATCACTGTAGGTGGTGGGACTACCTCAGACCTAGTGAGCTGGAACCTGGGGGTGAGGCTAGGTGTGGTATACTGACATGGTTTCGGTAAAAAGCCCCCCTTGGCAGGCCTCAGTAACCGTGGCTGCTCCAGTGGCTCCGGGCGAGAAGAGCCTGCAGGTTCTCACCTGTTTTCTGGTGGCCTGCTTTGCTTCCCTGTGCTGAGCACCATCTGCTAGGCAGAAGGAAGGCCTGGTGCAGCCTTCCTTTGTGAAGAAGTTTCTTAGAATACTGACATAGAGAACATACCTCCTCAGATCAGGCCTACTCCCCAGAGACCAACTTGATTGTGAGACTTTGTAACTGTCAGTCTATTTGTTATCTCTATTCTATTCCCAACTCTTTCTAGACCTGTTAGTAGCAAAGTTCCTAAAAGCCCTTACAAGGGAGTGTATTATTGATTGCTTAGGGATCAGAGACTGGGGAGAAGCAGTAAGGCAAGTGGGCTCCCATTCTGCTGAGGTCTACGAGGTGAGAAGCCCTGGTGAGAAGCAGTGTGGGGAGGGCTACGGCCAAGCTGGGACCACAGGCTGTCCAGGAATAAGGAGCGTCCCTGTGAGTTTGAACCAGCAGCCTGCCTCAGAGCCGACTTTCTCTTTGAAACGTTCACCCTCCTCTGGGGTAACAGCCAACTCCTTTTAAAAGTTTAGAGATGCTGTAGTTTTTCCTCCTTTTCTTCCCCTCTATTTCCCCCCTCTTATATTTTTTATTTCCCTCCTTTTGATCTCTTCCTCAACCAGCTCAGTCTTCTCTTTATCCCAAATTCTTTCACCCCTTCTCATAGGACATCGAGTGATTATGTTTAAGAGTGTCTCCAACTCATCAGTGCCCAAGAAACATAATCCCACAAGAGGAAATTTGTCCCAGACCAGATGATGCCAAACCCAGGAGACCACTGAGCTCCAAGCCTGGCAGCTGGACCCTGAGCGTCTTCCAGGTCATTGTTCAAAGAACAGGATGGAAGGAACTGGGTGAGGACCCACCTTGATCTTCATGGTACTGGGGGCCAGGGCTGTAATTTCCTTCTGCATCCTGTCAGCAATGCCAGGGTACATGGTGGTACCCCCGGAGAGAACATTGTTGGCATATAAGTCCTTGCGTATATCGATGTCACACTTCATGATGGAATTGTAGGTTGTTTCATGAATTCCGGCGGACTCCATGCCTAGTAGAGATCACGGTATCTAGTCAGCATCCATCTCTCACAAACACCCACACCTTCAGCTCCTCAAGTGACCTTTCTGCTGTTGCAGTTACCCCAGTTCAGACCCTCAGTTACCTCCTCAATGGATGACAAGGTCAGACCCTCTAACTAGTCATCGCCCTGCCTTCAGTTTTCCTCTGTTCCGGTGGGTCTTTCACATCGTTGCCTGAAGTATATTTCTAAAGAACACTTTCACCGCATCCTCTTTTTTCACTTTTATGGAGATATAATTCACATGCCATATTATTCCCCCTTTTAAAGTGTACAGTTGAGTCATTTTTAGCATAATCACAGAGTTGTACAACTATTGCCACAATGTAATTTTAGAACATTTTTAACACCCTCTAAAGAAACCCCACACCCATTAGCAGACACTCCCCATTTCCTTCTCTACCCTTCCTCAGCTCTAGGCAACCACTACTCCACTTTCTGTCTCTATAGCTTTCCCCATTCAGGGTATTTCCTATAAACGGACTCACATTCTATAAGGCCTTTTGTGTCTGGCTTGTTTCACATAGCATGTTTTCAAGGTTCTTCCATGTTATAGCATGTGTCAGTACTTCATTCTCTTTTATTGCCACATGTCATCTTTGATAATCCTCCATTGCCTACAGGTTGACATTTAGCTCCCTTAGCCTGGCACCAAGATCTTCCTACATGCCAAACCAGCTCATGCCCACCTACCTGGCCTCTCCCACCTCTAGTCTTTTGTGCATGTGATATAATTTCACACAATAGATAGAAGAATCTTCCTAAAATACAAACCTGACCTTGCTACACTGCTGCCTAAAAGCTTTCAGGGGATCTCCATGCTGATATGATTAACCCCCACGTTCTTTGTACGGTCCATTCGTTCTCTCCAGTTTCCCCTGTGCACAAACACATAACACACATGCAAACACGAGTACATGCGCGCGCGCACACACACACACAGAGAATTCTTCCATTGTGTCCCAAATAGAACATGACCTCTCACACTTCCACGCATTTGCACATACCATTCCCTCAGCCTTGCATGCCATTCCCTACTCTGCACTCCTTCCATCCCAGATACCATAGAGTGATACTCATTCTTCAAGGTTCTGTCCAAATATGCACCTTCTCTGAGAAGTCTTCCCTGGTTTCTTAGGCCTATAGCACTCTGTCCAGTTTGCTATTTACCACTACATTGTATATCAACATTTGCTTATAGGCCCATCTCTTCTTATACACTCCTCAACAAAGACTTGCCCTTGTATTAATCTGTTATTTAATCCTTGTTGCAACCCTACTTAGTGGGTGCTAGCATTATTTCCACTTTGCAGATAAGATAACTGAGGTTTGAAGATGGTAATATGTCCAAAGTGACAGGGATTAAAGGGGCAGAGTCAGGACTTAAAGTCAGGTCTGACCCCCAAGCCTATCCTGTTTACTATTATAAATTTCAACCTCATGACCTAAATGCTGAGGAATCCAAGAAGTGTTTTGATTATTAACCTCATTCTTAGCTTCATATTCTATTCCCTCTCCTGCTTTTCCTTTATCTTGATTTCCTTACCCTTTTATTTAAAATTAGATTTTATCTAATTGTATTGTTTATGTATTTTTGGCTCTTCCTGGAAAAATACAGGCTATGTATAAACACTAAACAAAGTGCGCGTGACTCCCGGTGTTTCTCTTTCCATCCCTCACCCACTCCTCCACCCTGTCCTCCTGAGTGGCAGGAACTACGGGCGGCACCTCACCAATGAAGGAAGGCTGGAAGAGAGTCTCGGGGCAGCGGAAGCGCTCATTGCCAATGGTGATGACCTGCCCATCTGGCAGCTCATAGCTCTTCTCCAGGGAGGAGGAAGAGGCTGCTGTGGCCATTTCATTCTCAAAATCCAGAGCCACATAGCACAGCTTTTCCTTGATGTCTCTCACGATTTCTCGCTCGGCTGGAAGGAGTAGAAATGACAGGAAGTAGATACTCAGTTCTGTTCGTTTGGTTGTGCCATTTTGATATCTGTGAAAACCTCCTCTTACTTCTTGTTTGGATTCAGTCTTAGGATAAATGTTAATTTTTCATTCCTCTTCCTAAAGTGGGAGTTCAAAGTCTCAATTCCCAAGCAAAATGTTGCACGGGCTTTTCTCCTTGCTGGCTTTGCTTTGCCCTGACAACACCGCAGGCCTTCCGGGGGCCTTGCAAGACGCATTTCCATTCTAGATGTAGGCTTGTATGTAGTGATCTTACAGAATCTAGGAAGGCCCCTACCTAAATACTCTCTTTCTCAGGGTGGCCACTAAGGCATGATACCTTCCCCTGAGATATTCATACTTATTTATTCCATGGGTCCTCAGACAAACTATTCATGCCCCTAGTTAATGAAATGCATCACCAGATCTTACTGCCATTTGGCACTGTTCAAAACTAGCTCTGAGCCTGGTGTGGACATGGACAGGCGGCAGGTCCCTGGAAGGAGGGGACGCTGTGAACGTGCTCTTAAGGAGGGCTCAGCCGAGTGCTGCTTAGAATAAGCGGGCCTAAGCCTTGTTCCCCCCTCCAAGGTGTATTGCTCAGGAACCTTCCTCCTTAAGTAAGGTTGCCTTCACTATCTGGTCTTGTCCAGAGGCCCAGCCTCAAGCTAGGGCCTCCCTCTCTATCCCAAGATAGTTTGAGGACACAGAGGCACAGACTTCTCATCTGTCCTGGGAACTTCTTGTCCTACCTAGATGAGATTTGGTTCCGAGCTGCGCTTAGAATCAGGAAAGGGGCTGCATACCTGTGGTCACAAAGGAGTAGCCTCTCTCTGTGAGGATCTTCATGAGGTAGTCCGTGAGGTCGCGGCCGGCCAGGTCAAGGCGCATGATGGCATGAGGCAGTGCATAGCCCTCATAGATGGGGACATTGTGAGTGACACCATCCCCTGAATCCAAGACGATGCCTACGGACAGAGGGGATAGGACCTATGAAAACCTTTCTTGTCTTTCATCTGTCTCTTTCTGGGAGCATTTACCTATGATCTTCCATTACCGTATTTTCCTTTAGTAGCTGAGAAAATTCACCCACCATAAGAATGGTCAATCATATTTTTTGTGCACATCAATTTATTCTCCCAAATGTCACTAGAGCCTACTGGAAAGCAAGTAGAATGTCTTCTCTTCTTGTACTCCTTGAAACACTTTCACAATAATGCATGCTTGTCAGTTTGTCAGTTTGCACCTGGATGGCACATTCTTTATGTGAGACTGAACAATTTGTACATCTTTCAGGCATCTGACTAATACATATGCACATGCAATTAGAATGTCAGATCTAAAAGGGACTATAAAAACCAGCCAATTTGAAAAAAATGAACATTCTCTACTAATAAAATTTTTAGTAAACCATGAAGGGAAATAAGCTTTCTCAGCATGATAAGAAATCTCTCTTGATCCTACAGCCACATCATAATTGATGGGGAAACAATACTGTTATTTTATTATTATTATTTACTATTGTCCTGGGTTTTTAAAGCCAACATAATAAGACACAAAATGGAAATGAAAGGCATTTTATCAAAAGGAAACAAAACTGTCATTATTTGCAGGTGATGTGGCTGTGTATCTAGAAGACCCAAGAGAATCAACTGAAAAATGATTAGCGTTAATAAGATGGTTTAGTAAGGGCCAGAGGTAAAAGAAATATCAAGGGACCAGGAGCTTCCTTTCGTACAAATCTGTTGATCATAGCATATTTTATAATAAACAAGAAAAATTGGAGACAACCTAAGGGCACAGCAATAGACAAATGGTAAAATAAATAAATTAATAATGGAACCATCGTACAATGACTACCACGTGACCATTAAACATGATGCTTACAACAAAATCAAGTGCAAAGCACAGGACACAAAACTATATAGACCTTGTGCTTCCTTATTACTGTCCTTGTCACCTGTGGTGAAATTGTTATTTATTTTGGTCTCTCCCCCACTAGACTGTGAGCTCCATAATGGCAGAGTCGGTCTTGTCAGTAGTGCAGTGTTTGGCACATAGTAGGCTGGATTGGAAAATATCCGATGGATGGATGAATGAATGAATGAATGAATGAACATAGCAATGAATACATAAATGACTATCAGTAAGAAAAAAAGACAAAAGGATGAATATGTGTATAGATGTTTCAATGATAGTCATGGAAGCTGTCAACTCCCTATTAAAAACTTCTTTATTTTGAAGCTCCCTGTTTCCCTGAGTACCTTTCTTTTTTTTTTTTTTTTTTTTTTATCCTCACCCGAGGATATTTTTCCACTTTTTGTACAGATAGAATGGGAGGGAGAGAGAGTGAGAAACATCGACGTGAAGGGACACATCAAGTGGCTGCCACCCGCACGACCAACCAGGGCCGGGGACAAACTGCAACCGAAGCACGTGCCCCCAGCGGGAACCAAACCCGGGTCTTTCCGGACCGCAGGCCGTCACTCTAACCGCTGAGCCAAACTGGCCAGGACTCCCTGAGTACCTTTCTACACCAAGAACACATACTCGCATAGCCACCATCACGGATTTTGCTGCTTCTGCTTCATGAGCAGAAACATTGCAGTACTGTTGGAAAGTGTGTCTAAGCTCCCGGACTGACTGCTGTGAGGGAAACGGCCCTTGGTTCATTCATGTGAACTCTTTCCATCTGCACTGGGCATACTCCCACCCACACGGGTGTCCCTTCTGTTATCCCAGTGCAAGGTTTTCCCTGGACTTTGGCTGTCCCTTTGTTTCTTCTGAGCAGGAACCTCTTTCCCTCCTCCCTCTGAAATCAGAAAAGGAGCGGATTACGACAACAGGGCCGCTCACTCACCTGTTGTGCGGCCAGAAGCATAGAGGGAGAGCACAGCTTGAATGGCAACATACATGGCAGGGACATTGAAGGTTTCAAACATGATCTGGAAGGACAATGAAGAATTAAAGACTGTCTTGCGGAAATCAGAGCACCTTTTGGCCAAAAGAATGGTTTGGAATCTTATTAAGGGCAGAAATATGCCTATTTACCCCACTCCCACCTCCCACAGGACCTGGCATGCACAAAGCAGGTTCTCAAAAAGTTCTGTTGCATTGATGTATGAATGGGAGAAAGGATTGGGCCGAGCATCCATGTTGCATTCTTGGGCCAGTGCTCACGTTTGGCTGGCCTCTTACCTGGGTCATCTTCTCCCTGTTGGCCTTGGGATTTAGGGGTGCCTCTGTGAGCAGGGTGGGGTGCTCCTCAGGTGCTACCCGCAGCTCATTGTAGAAGGAGTGGTGCCAGATCTGTTTGGGACAAAAGTCAGATGAGTCCAGCAGTCTCCCAGTGGGCTGGAAAATTCCAATGGACATGCCCATGCTAAGGGAGTTTGGCTCAGTGTTCTTGGGTCTGGAGAGAACTCTCAGCCCTGGGAATTTCTGATTGATATTTACAGGTTATATTCCTTCTCGACAGGGCCCCGGACAGGACCCAGACCTGGAGCCAAGATACTTAGTGTGTTGATTATGTCTGTCTGAACTCCCCTCTCTCCCCTGCTTTGTGCCCTGGGGGGCCATTAGGCCTCTGTGTTCCTTGCTTTCTGGCTTCTGACTAGGTTTGGCTTATAGAAGATACAGCAAGAGTTGGAGACTGGGAGGAGGGAGAGAGGTCAGGGTGTTTCTCCCTGTAATGGTGCGGCCTTTCTTGAGCACAGCTCCTGTTGAGTGGCCCCTCTCTCAGGGCTCAGCTCTCATGAAGTTTTACTGATGTTGCCCTCCCCCTGCCAGCATTTGGGGTGTAAGAGCTTCCCTCTGTTGCCAGTACTTGGGTGCCTCAATATCCCTTTCTGGTTCCCTAACTCTGCTCACACCCCTGTAAGTAGTCCTTCCTTAAATTAACTTCCAAGCCCTACCTGAAAGTATCCTGTCTGTTGATGGGAAACAGAGATACACTGGCACCTCCCTTGTCTATTATGATCTGGCTGGTACTTTAGAGCAGGGTTTCTCAACCTAAGCGCTTTATTTTAGGTTAGATACTTCCTTGTTGCAGGGACTGATCTGCGCATTACAGGATGGTTAGCAGCATCCCTGGCCTCCACCCAAGGAGCCAGTAGCACCCCTCCAGCTTGTAACAGGCAAAATATGTCTGTAGACATTGCCAAATGTCCCTGGGAGGCAAAATTGCCCCAGTGGAGAACCACCGCTTTAAAGGAAGTTATTTCTTCCTTCTGTGTCCAGATCCCTCTTCAGTGATCCAGGACCACATAACAGGAGTTCCATTGTTTACTTTCAGAGGGATTTTATTTTTTACTTAAGAGGCATTCGGCTAAGAGTGCCAGAGACATAGGGCTTTGATCTCCTCAGAGGTGGGGCACAGGATCATTTGATTCCATCGTACCCACGTATTTATGGATCTCTGGCTTTGCGCTAGGACGGTGATAAATGTGAGGAGGGCAGATATAAACCAGACATGGCCCCTAGATCTTGGTATCAAAGTCTGAAGGGGAGAAACACAGGCAAAAGACAAAATACTAAGACATCCCCATTGTAAGCGAAGGATGAGGCAGAAGAAGTTCATTTACCAGTGGATTTAGGTGGGCCCTGAAGGCAAAGGAAATGGCACCAGCATCAGCATCAGCATCACATGGGATACCTGTGCAGGTTCCTAGGCATACCCCTGACCCACAGCCCACAGCCTCTGGGTATTAGGCCCAAACATCTACACTTCATTTTATTTCAATTTTTTTTTTTTTAATCCTCACCCAAGGACTTCTTTTTGCATTTATCTTCAGGTAGAGCAAGAGGGAGAGAGGGAGGAAGAAAGAGAGAGAAACATCGACATGAGAGAGACACATTGAGTGGTTGCCACCCACACGACTCTAACCAGGGCCGGGGACAAACTGCAACCGAGGTACATGCCCTTAGTGGGAACCGAACCCGGGACTCTCCGGTCTGCAGGCCAATGCTCTAACTGCTGAACCATACTGGCCAGGGCTCATTTTTTTTTTCTTCTTTGAGTTTTTATAAAGTACTTTAAATACAAAAGATATCACTAATGTTAAAATTAGAAAAAAATATTTTTAAGAGGAATAAAAATCTCCCATATTTCAATCACCAATTTTTTTTTTTTCAATCCTCACCGAGGATATTTTTGCATTTATCTTCAGATAGAGTGGGAGAGAGAGAGAAACATTGACGTGAGAGACACATCGACTGGCTGCCACCCACACTACCCCAATCGGGACCAGGGACAAACTGCAACCAAGGTACGTACCCTTAGTGGGAACCCAACCTGGGTCTCTCTGGTCCACAGGCTGATGCTCTAACTGCTGAGCCAAACCAGCCAGGGCTCAATCACCTAATAATAAACAGCTTACCTTTTGGCTTTTTTCTTCTTTCTAATCTTTCACCTTTATGTATTTTCAAATTTATTACTATTAACATTCATTTATTTCATATACTTTGATTTATTTATTATTATATTATTATATGTTTTACAGTTTTGTAATTATACAAAATAATACAATTTTGTTTCCTGTCACTTTTCAGTTAATATAACCTAATCTCCTTTTTCATAGTAAATTTATTTTTAATGCATTGAACATTTATTTTTAATGCTTATACAATATTTCATTATAAACCATATATATATAATCACAGTACTATTCATGTCGTATCTTCTGTTTTTATTTATAAATAATACTGTGAGAGCTACCTTTGTGTATATTACATTTTTCTTTTTCTATTTAGGTTGTTTTCTAAGAAAAGATTTCCAGCAGTGGCATTACTGGGTTAACGAGTATGGCAATCGGAAGACTCTTTTAACTTTCACTACCAACAAAGAGGCTAAATTTCTCTACTCCAGAATAAGAGAGTGCCTATCTTACCCTGACCTGTATACAGTGTTCTCATGCTTAAAATATGAAATAATTTGATAGATAAAAATAACATCTAGTTTCACTTTGAATTTTTTATTTGTTTCCAATGAGTTTAAACTTTTTAGATTTGCAACTTTTTATAATTTTTATTTGGGAAATTATCTGTTTCTAGTTTTTATTTATTTGTCTGGTGGAGACTTTGTATCTTTGCTCATCAATTTGCACTAGCTGTTAATATTAATCCTTCATGTACTTATGAATATTTTTTGCAATGAATTGTTTGCTTTTTAAATTTGGCTTTTATTTTTACTTGCTTGAAGTTGTGATTTTTTTTTTTATTCTCACCCGAGGACATTTTTTGATATTTTGTTCAAATAGAGTGGGAGGGAGAGAGAGAGAGAGAGAAACATTGATGTGAAAGGGACACATCAAGTGGTTGCCACCCGCACGACCCAACCAGGGCCGGGGACAAACTACAACTGAAGTATGTGCCCTTAGCAGGAACTGAACCCGGGTCTCTCCGGACCGCAGGCCGACGTTCTAACCGCTGAGCCAAACCGGCCAGGGCTGACGTTGTGATTTTTAAGAAATCACATTTGTCACCCTGGACGGTTTGGCTCAGCAGTTAGAGCATTGGTCTGCAGACCAGAGAGACCCGCGTTTGATTCTCACTAAGGGCACATATCTCAGTTGCAGGTTGTCCCCAGTCCTGGTTGGGGTCGTGTGGATGGCAACCAGTCAATGTGTCTCTTGCACATCAGTGATTTTCTCTCTCTCTTCCCCCCTCTCTCCCTCACACTCTATCTGAAGATAAATGCAAAAATGTCCTCCGGTGAGGATAAAAAATTAAATTAAATTAAATTAAAAAATTGCATTTGTCATTCTTTTTCTCTATGACTTCGTTCACCAGAAATTTGATAGTCACACTTATCATATTGTATTTATTTTATCATTTGAATTTTTATATTTAATTTTTATATTCAATTGATATGTGTTTGGTGAAATTGTATGAGGTAAGGACAATAAGCAAAGATTCCTTACCCCTCAAGTAAGTAATCAGTTGTCCCAGAATAATTCATTGAGTAATCCTGTTCTGGTATTGGAAATTTCACTTATCATCCATTTTCTCTTTACCTTTGTGCTGGTACCAAATTGTTTTAATTTTTATAACTCTATATTATATTTTAGTATTTGGATATGGCAAGTCTCTACTTATAGTTTTTCTTATTCACTGTGTTCTCACAAATTTTGCCTTATTTCTTTCTTCAAACATATTTTATGATTATCTTACATAATTTTGAATTGCGATTCTTTTTTAGTCAAACTGCTAGGAACGGAGAGTAGAATGGTAGTTACCAGGAGGTGGGGGTGGGGCAGGGGAACTGGGGAGATATTGGTCAAGGGAAGCAAAGTCTCAGTTATGCAGGATAAATAAATTCTAGAGACTTATTGTATAGCATGGTGACTATAAGTAACAGTACTGTATTGTATACTTAAAATTTGCTAAGAAAGTATATCAGTGTTCTTACTACAAGAAAAAAGAATTATGTGAGGTGACAGGTATGTTAATTAGCTTGAATGTGGTGACTGTTACACAATGTATATGCATATCAAATCATCAAACTGCACACCTTAAATGTAGACAATTTAAAAAATTGTGAGCCCTGGCCGGTTTGGCTCAGCGGTTAGAGCGTCGGCCTGCGGTCCGGAGAGACCCGGGGTTCCCGCTAAGGGCATGTACTTCGGTTGCAGTTTGTCCCTGACCCTGGCTGATTGTGCAGTGGCAGCCACTTGATGTGTCCCTTTCACATCGATGTTTCTCTCTCTATCTCTTCCTCCCACTCTATCTGTACAAAAAATGGGAAAACGTCCTCGGGTGAGGATAAAAAAAAAAAAGTGAGATTTTTACTAGAATGGCAATGAGCCCATGCATTAATTTTAGAAGACTTGACAGCTTTATCTTATTTTTATTTTTTTAATATGTTTTTATTGATTTTGGAGAGGAAGGGGAGAGAGAAACATTGATGGACTGTCTCCTGCACATCCCCTACTGGGAACAGCCCGTAGCCTGGGTATGTGCCCTGACCGGGAATCGAACTGGTGACCATGCAGTGCACAGGATGACCTTTTGGTGCATGGGCTAATGCTCAACCAACTGAACCACACTGGCCAGGGCCCATTTTTCTTTTAAGACACATAATATATGTTTAGGAGTTTCTTTAAAGATTTCATATTGTTATTACTATGAATAAAATGTTTTTGTCTGTAATGTGTTTGAATTATATATTGTTAGATATATACAAATAGTATGTGCCATTTATTGAGCAGTAAGTATGTTTCAAGCCTTGGGATTATACTATGTACCTAATTAAATCTCCCAAGCAACCGAATGAAGAAAGTATTTTTATCTCCATAAATGAGGAAACTGAGGCTCAGAGGGAAGGATGTGCTCCCAGATCTCCCTGTCACTGACTCTGCCTGTGTTCTTAACGGTTTCACTGTGTGAAGCAAAAGCTGTTATATTTTATCTGTTTATCTCGCATCCAGAGTGACTGAATCTGGGATTTAGATAAAAGCATAGAGAATTAGAGATTTCAAATCAACATTCTTTATTCCCAGTGGCAGTCTGCTCAATAAGCCCTCTATTACATTTCAAAAGGCAATCATTGCAAAACAAGAGCTCTCAGACGACTGTCAGCAGAATTTATCAAAAGAATATTAAAAAGGCTCTATTAGCATTTTGCACACATGATTTTGTTGATCACAAACTACCATTTAAAAATTGCCCCTTCCCCACATTTTCTTACAAAAAAAGCTTCTAGAAACCTCGATGAATCTTACTTAAATTTGTCATGAGTTAGTGAGGAGCTACTGAAGATTCTTGAGGAGGTGAATGCCATGATCTGACTTGCTGTTAGAAAGAGAAGCTGTGCAGCAGCGTAGAGAACTCATGGGGCGAATGAGGCGGGAGACAAAGGAAACAGGCAGGGAGCCATTGCAGCATCTCTCCTGCGAGAGATGTCAGCGCGCTTGGTTGAGGGTGGCCATGGGGATGGACAGGAAGGAAAGAAGGATGTGAGAAACATTTTAGAGGAAGAGTTCGGCACCAGAGGACTGTGGGATATGAGGGTCATGATGAGGTATTATCATTTAAATGAGCACGTTAAAGGGGAGTTCGCCCTTACCTTCTCCATGTCGTCCCAGTTGGTGATGATGCCATGTTCAATGGGGTATTTGAGAGTCAGGATCCCTCGCTTGCTCTGAGCCTCGTCGCCCACGTAGCTGTCTTTCTGGCCCATTCCCACCATGACACCCTGCGACACAAAAGAGGCAAGTTGTGAATTGGCTGAGGGCTCCCTTCAGAGGGACTCAGGCGTTAGAGAGTTTCTGAGGAAAAATAAAGATAGGGGAAATGTCCTTTTCCCCAGGAAACAGAACAGCAGAAGATAAGGGCAAGGCAGATACCAGTAAATGAGAAAGTGATAAGGAGAGGAGGTGGAGGAGTTCTTGTGAGCTTGTCTCTCTTTTTTCTCCTAAGACAATGTCATTTTCTGAGAGAGAGCAGAGCTCATCCATACACTTCCTCTCCTTACCTTACCTTACCTTACACACTCACACACACTCTCACACACACAACTTATACTGGCCCTCCTCAAATACCCTATGCTCACACTTTAAACCTCCAAACTTTTGCTCCTGCTGTTTTCGCCACTTGCTGAAATCCCCCGTAGTCTCAGTTATCCCTTTTTCTGCAAAGTCTTCCCCATCCCTTGTCCCTCCTTTCAGATTTTTTTAAATCCTCACCCGAGGATATTTTTCTATTGCTTTTTAGATAGAGTGAAAGAGAAATAGAGAGAGAGAAAAAACCATCAATGAGAGAGACACATCAATTGGTTGCCTCCGGCAAGACCCCCACCAGGGCCTGGGATCAAACCTGCAACCCAGGTATGTGCCCTTGACTGGGAATCACACCCTGCGACCCTTTGTTTCGAGGGCCAACACCCCAGCTGCTGAGCCAAATCAGCCAGGGCCTTTTATTCAGATTTTTAATATATTGAATTTAGAGAGAAAGAGGAAGGGAGAGAGAAAGAGAAGCATCGATTTGTTGTTCCACTTATTTATGCATTTATTGGCTAATTCTTGTATGTACCCTGACAGGGTTCCAAACCACACCACAACCTTGCTTAACGGGGGGATGCTCTAACCAACAGAGCTACCACGCCAGGCCTCTGTTTATATTTAATCTCTCCCTCTCCTGGTGAGCTATTTTGCCTCTAATTCAGCTTGTGATCACAAATAAGTTGTGGGCGTATCTTCATGGAGTATACATTTCTTAAAGGCAAGGGGCTTGCTTAGTTGCATATATATTTTTTAAAGATTTCTTCCAAACCTAGCAATCTCAAAGACTTAAGTTAGACATACTGCCATCACTACATGCCTGAAAATGTGTTTGGTTCTGTACATTTCTATTTAAAGAGTCCTGCTGCCTGGCTAGTGTGGCTCAGTGGATTGAGCGTCATCCCATGCCCTAGGAGGTGGCTGGTTCAATTCCCAGTCAGGGCACATGCCTGGGTTGTGGGCTCAATCCCTGGTGGGGGGTGTGTAGGAGGCAACCAATTGATGTTTTATCTCTCTCTCCCTTTCTCTTCCTCTCTCTCTAAAAAAAATCAATAAAAAAACCATTTTTTTAAAATCAGGGGTCCTGCTCTATTAGTTAATCAAAAGAGAGAACCCCACCCTCAACACACACACACACACACACACACACACACCCTTCTACACACATACTCAGAACCTCTCACACACACTCATTCTCTCAATCATACACACAAACACATGCACACACACACTCCTGCACTCACACACACACACACACACACACACACAGCTCAGCATGGTCTTCACAATGCAGTGCTTACTCCTGGTGGAGATGAGCACACACCTGATGGCGAGGGCGGCCCACGATGGAAGGGAAAACAGCTCGAGGGGCGTCATCTCCTGCGAAGCCAGCCTTGCACAGGCCAGAGCCATTGTCACACACGAGTGCAGTGGTCTCCTCTTCACACATGATGAGTGTAGCCAAGTAAACCAGGGGCTGGAGCACCTTGGGGGTCAGGGGAGAAGAAAACTAGTTAGCTAATTGTCAAAAACATGTTGGAGACAGCCTTCTTCTTCTTTTATTTTTTTGTTAATCCTTACCTAAGGGTATTTTTCCTTGGATTTTTAGAGAGAGTAGAAGGGAGGGAGGGAGAGAGAGAAAGAGAGAGAATCATCAATGTGAGAGAGACACATCAATTGGTTGTCTCCTGCACAACCCCAACTGGGGCCAGGGGCTGAACCTGCAACCCAGGTACATGCCTTTGACTGGGAATCGAACCCGAGACCCTTTGGTCCATGGGTCAATGCTCTGACCACTGAGCCAAACCATCCAGGGCATAGTCTTCTTGACTTTGGAGCCTGACCCCACATGCAGCCAGGGCCCAGTTCCAGGAGACATGAGCATGGACCTGGTCTCCCAGCCCCTGGGGATTGGGCCTCTTCCCTCTACCCTGCTGATATGGGCTGATTTGTGTCCTCAAATTCATGTGTCCTAACCTTCAGTCCCTCAGAGTGTGGCTGTATTTGGGGACTGGGCATTTAAAGAGGTAATTAAAGTAAAATGAGGTCATTTATCCAATATGACTGGTGTCCAATATAACTATTCCAAAAGAATAGGTGTGTGTGTAAGAAGAGGACGCTGGGACAGAGACATGCAGTGAAGACCGTGTGAACAGGCAGCACAGGGCGGCATCTCCAAGCCAATGAGAGAGGCCTCAGAAGAAAGCAATCCTGCCGACACCTCGACCTTGGACTTTGAACGTCCAGAACTGTGAAAAACTACATTTCCGTTGTTTAAGCCACCCAGTCTGTGGCAGCTTGCTATGGCAGTTCTAGCAAACTCATCCACCTGCCTTTTAAACACCCCAAATGGCTACAAAGCTTTAATCCAATGGAGAGAATCTTAAAAGACTTGAAGGTTAGGAAAGGAGTTGAAACAATGTACAGAACACATAACAAAGGATTATTATCTACTCTATATAAATAACTCTTACAAAGCAATAGGAAAGAAGTAAACGGCTGGAAAGAAAAACAAAGATGGTGAGTAGATCATTGACTGAGAAGAAAATGCAAATATCCAACAACTATATGTGAAGATACATAGCCTCACTAGTTATCAGGGAAATGCAAATGAAATAAGATCGTTTTCACCCATCACAGTGTCAAAGTTTTATAACAGATGTTGGCAAAGGTGTGGGAAAACTGGCACTCTTTAACTAGAGAAACATACAATCTAGAACTACCCGAAAATCCGAAGTATGGAATACTGTACTGAAGTTAACAAAGAGCCAGGCCTGTCTTTATGGACTCATGTGGCTAGATTTCCAAATCTTTCTACTGCGTGAACAAGGCAAGTTGCAAGCTAGAATGCATAGTAGAAAACCATTTAAGCACGTTATTAAAAAAAAAACAAAAAAAACCCCAATAGGGTGCGTTTTCCCATAATTTTTTATTTGTGGATTTAAACACAGCAACAAGTTTTGGAAATAAAAGTCCAAGACTGATCATAGTGATTACCTCTGGAGTTGGGAAGGGGCTGGGAGAGGAGGGGCTGGGTTATAGCTGTAATGTTTTAAATTTTTACAAGGAAACTGTATTCATGAATGGTTTATAATTAAAATCAACATAACATATCATTAAGGAAAAAAGACGCAGTAGTTATGGAGGAAACGTACAATCCTAGGGGTAAAGCAGCTGAGGAGGAAGGGGCAGCAGAGAGGAGGAAAGAGATGAGACTCACTGCCCCCTGCTGCTTGGGAAGGAGAAAACAGAGCAGCCCCTCCTCCGAAGCTGATACCTGAACTGGGACGGCTGCAAAGCGAGGAGGCAATGCATTTCTCCAACATCTGTTGCAGGTTTTCTTTTTTGGTGGGGGAGATTGAAAGACAACATCTGACAAATGATTGACACTCGGTGATAAAAGACAAGAAACAGACACTCAGGAGACAGTGAGCAGATTGGCTTCTAGCCTGCAGGCCCTGGGTAGGACATCGTGAATGGAAGTGGGAAGGTCCTCGCTGAGGGGTTAGGAAGGCCAGCAGTCAGGGGTCCAGAGAAAAGAGGCCCAAGGTGTCGAAAGAGAAGGTGGTGGCGGAGGAGGAGGCCCCAACCAAGCTTCATTCAGGATGCGCGCCCACAGGAGGAGAAGATGGGGGCTAGGAAACCTGTGATCTTGGCCCAGCAGTGGCCTTACGCTGAAGATGGACAGTGAAGATGATGACCAAAGCAAAGAGGAGACAGAGCCACAGGCCTGTGAACAGGAGGGCAGAAAGGCTAAGTAGAGACTGAACAGAAGCGTATTAATAAATTGTTAAGGCTAAAAGGAAGCCCCGTCGTGTTACATTTGGAGTACAGTGCACACTAGGGGAGAGGCCCGCTGCGACTTACTGAGTCCAGCTCTGCTTCTGTCTCTGTGGATCCTCCTGACCTCCCATGGCCGTGGAGACCAAGTCCCAGCTCTCTAACTTGGCCCACGGGGCCATCAGGGCTTGGCCCCTGCCTGCGTCTCCAGGCTCATCTTTCCTCTTCGCCCTCTCCGCCTTCTCACTTTGGCCATGTGGCGTTTCTCTCCATTCTCTGAACTGTGTCGCTCCCTCTCCCTTCTGAACTATTAAACGCAGGGTCTGCAACACCCTTCTCCCCACCTGTTTGCTACTCCTATCACCTGTCAGGCCTCTGTGTTGACACTGCACTTTTCTGAGGCCTCTCTGACCACTGGTCTTAGTGGCACCTCTTCTTTGCCCCACGGCACCTTGAACCTGCCCGAGCAATGACCAACTCTGCATATCCTCACTCTCGTGTAGCCCTGTGAAGGCAGCAGCTGGGTCTGCCCCACTCCCCAGTGACTCTTCAGTGTGCCTGACATAATGCCTGGCATGGGCTCCTAAAGCTTGGTTATCAGAATGAATGAGAGAATGAACCAATGGCAGTCAAGGAGAAAGGTTTTCAGAGCCACAAAGGTAGGACAAACATTGGTAGGAGGATATCAAGGTGTGAGGTGAAGTGGAGATTGAAGGAGAGCATCTAGCTGCCCAGAACAGTCCTGCCCCTGGCTCCGAGCAGTTTCTGAACCACAGAGAAGACCCACCGACCTCCGACCATATTGCAAGAATGGAGAAGTGAGGAGACGTTAGAAGACTGGAGATGGGCAAATGTTCTGTGCTCGAAAAGGGAAAGGGAAGATTATATCAGATCATCCTGATATGCGAGTCAGTTAGGTTTCCAGAGGTATTGTTAAAGAACACATTTTTAAAGAAGCAGTGATTCTTTATATTTGGTAGTGGTTTATTTACCATGGGCAAATGTCAGAGTAACAGCCCTGGCTTTTCTCTCAGGACTAAGGGGCAGGAGAAGGTGGAAGACATTGAGCTTAACTTGATCTTGACATCTGACAAGGTCTCCTGTGATATCCTGTGATAAGCCAGGTGGGCTGAACAATAAGTCAAGTGGGCATATTTGTAGCTGCCTGAATTAGTCACTGAAAAGTGTTGATTGATGGATCAGCGTCAGCCTGGAGACAGTGATATGCCTCAGGCTCTAGTTTTTTACTCCTCACCTGAGGATAAGCTTATTGATTTTCGAAGAGGGGAAGTGGGGGAGAGAGAAAGAGACATCGATCAGCTGCCTCCTGCGCACGCCCTAATCAGGGATTGAACCCACGACCTAGGTACATGCCTTGACTGGGAATTGAACCTGCAACCTTTTGGTATATGGGATGACACTCCAACCAACAGCCACACTGGCAGGGCCTTGAGGCTCTACTCTTGTTTTGTTTTTGTTTTTTCTCATGTAGCATTTTAATAAATGAGCTGGATGAAACTATAGAGCACATGCTGATCAAATTTCCTGATAAAACAGATCAAGTAGAGCGTAATATTAAATATGTTGGATGGAAGAACCAAAATCCAAAGCAGGTCTCCAAAAGCAGAGAAAATAAGCCAAATCCAATAAGATTAAATGTAATAGGGTAAATATGAGGTTCTGTATATGAGTCTAAATACCAAACTGTGAAAGCTGCCGTTCAGCATCTGTGAGCGGGACCTGGGGTCTCGCCCACAGTCCACGGTGTGAAAGCTAACTCACCTCTGGCTGGGGACTGTGGCCTGTGCCTGGGGACACCCTGGCTGGAAAAAGTGTGGGGATGTGGGCTTGCAATCACTACAGACGTGTCAAACTGTAGCACTTTTTGGAAGGGAAATTTGAAAGTACTATTTAAAAGCCTAGCCCTGGCCAGTTTGACTCAGCGGTTAGAGCGTTGGCCCGTGGACCATAGAGTACCAGGTTCGGTTCCCGCTAAGGGCACGTACTTTGGTTGCAGTTTGTCCCTGGCCCCGGTTGGGGTCGTGTGGGTGGCAACCACTCGATGTGTGTCTCTCTCTCTTTCTCCTTCCCTCCCTCCCACTCTATCTGAAGATAAATGCAGAAAGTCCTCAGATGAGGAAAAATAAATAAATAAAAGCCTTAAAATGAATATATATAGTTTGTGTATAATGTACAGAATAGGCAAAAGTAGGTTTACAGTTCTGATTAGGTGAAACAGAGTTCATTTATGTATTAATTATGTATTATTTTTCATATGAACAACTGCAACTATCTTTTGATATAAACATGTATATGTCTTTCAACTCCACAAAGGCACTTCTAGGGATTTATTCCTGGGAAACATTCATGGGTAAGTAGAAATATTTGGCCAAGAGCCAGTTTATCCCAACTTAAAAAAAAAAAAAAAAAGAAAAACAACTTTAATGTTTAAAAAGTTATTGAAGCCCTGGCTAGTTTGGCTCAGCAGTTAGAGCGTCGGCCTGTGGTCCAGAGAGACCCGGGTTCGGTTCCCGCTAAGGGCATGTACCTCGGTTGCAGTTTGTCCCAGGCCCTGGTTGGTTGTGCGGGTGGCAGCCACTCGATGTGTCCCTTTCACATCAATGTTTCTCTCTCTCTCTCCCTCCCACTCTATCTGAACAAAAAATGAAAAAATGTCCTCGGGTGAGGATAAAAAAAGAAAAAGTT